TGGTCACACATCCCTTGGCGGATAGGGTGGCCTGACTTTCAGGTGGGTCTCCTTGGAGGGCCTCTGGATGCTGGGCTAGGGACGCTGAGCCACTGACCAGAAGCTACCTGACTTCATTGGGAGTACAGGGGAACCCATGAGGAGAGTACAGGGTCTCCTCTTTCGAGACCCATGAACAATGTAAAGTGATACTGCCAAGGTCAGGAGCAAGGCTGTTCTGTCTCCTGAGCAAGGAGCAAGTGTTAGGGCACCAGACCTTCATGGGCTTGCCCTCAATACTCTGGCAGCATCCTTTGCTGAGTGTATGGAAATGCTGCTTCTCCACATGAAAGAAGACAACGGGGGCCAAAGCCTGTCTTGGACAGGGTTTTCAACCTCCTGGCTTGTGCTAAGGAGATCTGTATAGTATAGAAGTGTAGAAAGAACACAGATGCGAGATTCTCATTTAAATTGTTTATTTGCTCATACAGACTTTTTATTTCTCTTTACCAAGACCAATAGTAGGTTCCTTGTTAGAATATGGCAATTTTTATCCGTCATTAGTGGCCTAGAAGTTCAAGGATTTGGATTTGGATTGTCCTTGAACCGTTCACATAGTGCACACTTATAATCTGAGGGGCCCTCTGGCTCCTCACTCTCAGGAGGCTCATTTGGACCCATAACCGAGAGGGCAGCCAGCAGGATGGCGTAGCAGGTGTTATATAAAGTTAGTATAGAATCATACTCTGGGTATACTTCAGGGCTGGCAGACCCTTCCCTTGTGCTTTCCATTCTAGCAGTAGCTATGGGTGTAAATGTAGCACTGCTAGAAGCACCTTCCCCACTTGGGCCATGTGGCTCAAAAGTGGAGCGGTTTCCCTGGGGATATCCAGTGGCCCTAGCAGTAGCTATGGGTGTAAATGCAGCACTGCTAGAAGCACCTTCCCCACTTGCGCCATATGGCACAAAAGTGTAGCGGTTTCCCTGGGGATATCCAGTGGCGCTAGCAGTAGCTATGGGTGTAAATGCAGCACTGCTAGAAGTACCTTCCCCACTTGCGCCATATGGCACAAAAGTGTAGCGGTTTCCCTGGGGATATCCAGTGG